ATGGGCGTTTTCGTGGTTTCCCCATGTGTAACGTGTATACGAGCCAGTTTCCCTTAGAAAGTCCTCCACGAAAGGCATCCCTCCCTTTAGGCAGATAGCCCTCGTGTGCTTTGCCATAATTAAATACACCAACTTGTTTCATAAGTAATTACCCAGTAATTTCTTTCACATATAACATTTGAACACAAACTATCCTTTTAATTACATAATCAAAAGGTGCATCCAAATGTGTTACTCTCTTCGTGTTCCTTCCGGTGGAAGATATGTAACGTTTCCTTTGGATAAACAAGGCAATTATTTTTCCGTGATATTTCTCATCCTGTAATTCTTTTCTCTACGAAGGCTTACATTCAAACATTTCCGCTGATATTTAATGCTATGATTAATTGATAGTATTTTCATGTGACATTTATTATTTGACAGTTAAAATGCAAGTTCATTTTGGCAGTTCTCTAGGAAAGCGTAATTTTTGACATACAGTGAAACAAAAATTAGGACATAGTAATTGTTGCTATCGTTGTTGGCTATGAAGTACAGTTGCTGAGTTTTTATTTAAGAATATACGCAAGTTTCGTCAGCGAAGAACAGATAATTTATAGTTTTAACAAATTTAAAAAGCTTTCTTCAAACCTCGAGAGACCCTTCCCGTTCCCCAAAACAAAAAGTCAAAGAGACGTATTTTACACTTAAAGGTGTTTTTAATTTATTTATTATGCTTAAATGATATATCATATTAAAATTCATTTATCTCTTTTGCCCACCAGCGGCCGAGCGGTAAAGTCGCTGAACACTGGTAGTTCGGTCCGAGGTTCGAATCCCCGCGAACGGGCTGGCTGCATGGGTGTTTTCGTGTTTTCCCCATGTGTAACGTGTATACGAGCCAGTTTTCCTTAGAAAGTCCTCCACGAAGGCATCTCTACCCTTAGGCAGATAGCCCTAGTGTGCTTTGCCATAATTAAATACACACACACACCATTTATCTCTTTCAACTCTTATTTTTGATTTCTTTATTTTTTACATTGTTATATTTATTACATTTTTATAACTTGTTTAATTTAAAAAATAAAGTAGAAATAGCAAGATTATAATTTGAAATGAAAGTCCTTTAATTCAATTAGGAATCTCACAATAATGATATTCATTTCTTCTTTAAAAATATGTAAAACTTTCATCAAAATGAAATGTTTTAAATTTGGTCGAGTACTGTTCTGCAACAAACTGCGTACAGCAAAATTTAAAGACATTTAAACAAACGCATTCGATTCTAATCTCTTTATGTACTTTTAAATACAAGTATAATAATAAGTCTATTTTTCTATTAGCAATAATTAGGATTAGGATTAGGAACGTGGGACGTGGACACCATCCCTTTACCGTTATGGTTAATTGGTTTAGCGCCACGTCCTCCAATATCCAGAGCAAGGCCAGAAGAGGCCATACGTGAGACTCGCACCAGACGCCCAAACCCAGCACCCTATTCATCCGGGTAGCAGTCCAGCCGACCAAAGTGCGCCCGAGGAATACTCTAAGCCGAAATGCCGGGTCCAGTATTAATTTGTTTCCAGGAATAAAAAGTGCAGTGTCAAATAAGGGCAAAATCTTTACATAGGTTAACATATACAATTACATAGTTGATCACAATAAGATTATAGAATTATGACATTATAAATACCTGGAATTATCCGTCAAACAGTAGGTCTATTACAATAATATACATATGCAAAATTTGGTTAAGAGTAGTAACAATTTGTGCGGATTATAGGCTACTCGTATTTGACAAATTACCGTTTAAGTATAAATCTTAGAATTGCACTTATGTAATTAGCAATAATTAGTTAGTTAAACCGTTACACTGTTGAATATACTGTAAAAACGTACGCAGAATGCTGTTTTACACTTCTATGATAGGCTCACCAGCGGCCGAGCGTAAAGACGCTGAACACTGATAGTTCAGTCCGAGGTTCGAATCCCGCGAACGGTCTGGCTGCATGGGCGTTCACGTGGTTTTCCCTATGTGTAACGAGTATACTAGCCAGTTTCTCTTAGAAAGTCCTCCGTCCCTTTAGGCAGATAGCCTTCGTGTGCTTTGTCATAATTAAATAATCCAATCCATCCACTTCTATGATATGTTGCTGGTTTCTTTCAGTAGCTCCGGATCTTATAAACAATATATACTTGAAAAAGTGGCAATAGGCTTTGTTTTCTCAAATATTGATTCTAGACAGGCATTTGTTAGAAGCAAAATTTCTCACAATAACGTAGAGAATTTTATGAAAGCAGTTTTAATACTGAGGATGGGAGAAATTTGTAAAAAAAAAAAAAAATAATAATAATAATAATAATAATCTTTTATATAGCTTCCGTCAAGCAAGTCCAATTAGTAAAATTTTAAATTTGCTGCAATAAGTTAAATGCATGTTGCCCAGTACATTATTAAAGTTGTCCAGTACAGGTGAAATCTTTTACAAATAAAGGCCGTTCTCTGAGGCCCTTCTAGTTAAGCCCTCACACAAAAGAGAAATTCTGGAAAAATTATAGTAAAACTCAAAACTAAATGCACCAAAACTTTCTACTCACTAAAGTAGACTAGCATTATTTCAAGCAACACGGGATGTTACTACACTGATATTAAGACAGCTGGCTGTAAAGAGTGCATTTCAGAGTTGGATTAACCAAACAAAATAAGCACGTGCTTAGAGCATCAAAGAAAGGGGATCCCACAAAAATTTCTCATTGCGAGTTTTACCATGGAATGTACTTCAGTCACTTAAGAGTGAAAGAGAAGAAATGGAACAAAAAACTTGCGAAAATATATGTGATGGCACCAAAATCTTCAAACTACTTAGAACCTCTAAAGATCTTAATCCGACCCTGGTGTGTTTCATGCAAAAAGCCTTTCTATGAGCCAAGTAAACGGAAAGAAACGACTTAAAGTTGCAAAGGAAATGTGAATAAGCCTGGGACGTTCTGGGACTCTATCCTTTTTGCGAAGAAGTAAAATTCAACCCTCATGGTTTGGATCAGAGAATCGTGATTTAGACAAGATCAAATGAACGTATGCTGATAAAATTTGTGTTGATTTGTGTAATAAGGAAGGGTTATATTAACACCGAGGGAAGGAAATCTGAAGTTTATCAAAGGCAAAATAGGTAACCCCACAGGTGATTGAACATTTTGAGAGCACATGTGTATAGCAGTGCTAAGACATCAAACCTCGTCGTTCTTTCGCGAGGACAATAACTTAAATCGGTACTTTTCCGTTTGGCCGGCGCAGGCGATAAAGTTGCCAATAATGGTACAAAACGATGCCAAACGGAATATCCTCGCTGGTAACCTTTTACGCCTCATTTTCAAAACAAGTCGCGCAGCCATTTTTCTTATCAGATTGATTGGTTTCTTTCAATACTGGCATACAATTACATAGAATTTTTATCAGATAGTTCAATTTTTATGTCTAAGGCCATTTCGCAGTAGTTAAGTCAATTAGGATGCAATCACAGCTCTCACCGAAGGCGAAAATATAGAAAAAGGTAAAGTCAAGGGTTAAATTCATCAATTCTAATGAAAATACATTAGCGAAGTAAAGCACTGCATGGTTTTACATAATTTCTAAGTAAGCTATTCGTACGAATTGAAATATTTCTTTGCATTCCAAATTAAGATTTAACTTGAAATTAATGTAGATAATTACTGAGAGCATTAGATTTTTGTAGAGTAGTTTACGTGAGATGAGATCAGCTTGGGGTCACGTGATATGAACCGGCGAATCAGGATTTTGAACCATGAAAGCATAGTAAATTCTTAAATTAATGTCTTTTACAAATTTATTGTCTTTTATTTATCGGCTTTTTACAAAGTTTTAAGTGATATTAAAATGTTTATGCCTTCAAATAAAAATTCTTTCTTAGAACTAAATTTGTTACATTTTTTTAGAACTAAAATTTGTTAACATTTTTTATGTGTATACTGTATGTTGTCTCCAATAAAGTCTGCTTGGCGAGATTTGCGCCGGCGAAACGGAAAAGTACCCTTAAATCACACAGCAAAGATTGTTAAAAAACAATTAGTGCGCAAGGTATCGAAGCAATTATGTATACCACCCAGCGTCGAAATCTAAGTCTAAACAGAAAATCTATGGGAGGAAATTGATCGTCGATTTAAAAAGCGCGATACTAGAGCAAAGCTGCAATAATATAATAATGGACTTTTGGATAAAATTACTCCGAAAGCAGCCCAAAGAAATCTGTTGGAATCATGCTAAAAATGCTTAGAGAGGTAAAAATGAAGGTACATTTCCTCATTTCTTTTGATGAATTTTTGATTCTATGATTCTGGGATTGCCTACATATATAAGATTTCTCCCCCCTTTTTTTTCAACCAGCTCTTTGCTAATTTTAGCTTTGTTAACAATCTGAAGTTTAATGAATAAAGTTTATTTTATTTAAAAATATAATGTTTATAACTTAATTTCATTATTTTTATAACATTTTACAACATGTAGAATTTGATTGCGCATTATTTTGTCGAAATATTGTGCAATTATACGCAGAACAGTTAAAGCGTATGGAGACATCATTTTGTCCAATGTCTGAAAAAATGATGCTTAATAAGAAACAGGAAGGTTCTTTTGGACACAACTGAAGCGAAACAAAGAAGTATAAAAAAAAAAAAAAAGGTGCTCTGTATTTCATTTGTAGAAAATAAATATATTTCAAAACAAATTTTCAATTTCAGGCGTATTTTATATATATATTTCAGTATTTATATTCTGAATAAAAAAATAATCAAGTAATCGATAAACTTTGGTTTGATTAAAATATATAAAATACAAAAACAATTTATCAGAAATACGTAATTGTATACTTACATAATTGTTTTTCATACTAAACGCCAGTTCTCATTTAGACTTACTTCGAGCGAAAAGTTTCTCAGCATGGTAAACTTTCCACGCCAAAGCGATTGCTGCACTCTAGCCAGCCGGGAAGTTTTGTGACGCAAATAAAAGCGCCACCGCGCGGTCATGAAAGGACAGTGAGACTGATGCTAGCTCCGGAAATGGCCGCTAAGCCGTCCCGCATTGTTGGATTACATGCGGCAATTGTTTTGTTTATGTGCTGGAGCAACGCGCGCACCTGCGTCGGAATTAAAAAAGGTAAAATAGATTGCACTTTACTCTTTAATAATGTGTCCTTGAAAGTGTAAAAATGATTAAATTCTATTGATATTTTGTTGTTAACTTGATTTGTGTGTTGGTGTTTGCCTCCCTCAGTCGACGCCTATTTGGCTCTGATGGTGTTCTGACGGCAGATCGGTGTTCGATTAACTGAATTTTGAAATGTGTAGACATTTATTTACGATTAGTTAATATTTTTATTAAACCATCTTTTAATAAACTTGCAATTGCTAATAACGCAGCATGAAATTCTTTTAATTTTCTCGTATTTAAAACACTGCTAAAAAACGTTTTAAATTCTGTGTAATTTTTTAGATTTTCACTAAAGTAATGAGATATTTTTGGCTTTTATAAGTAGTGAAAAATTGTTGGTACCGAGGAATTTTTCTGTTATAAGTAATTTTGTGGATTTCTTGTTGTTGATATGACGTTTTATCTAAAATGTACGCATAACACTTAAAGTTACAAGCTAAGGGAAATATTATTTACTATAGAATGTGTTAAATATTTTTAGATCTTCATTAAATCGTTTTAAGTATTTATTTTTAATTTATTTAAAATTTTCAGTCGTAGTCAACATTTGCATAAACTAAATTGTTCTGAAAAAGTTTTGCATTGCCCATCTCATTCTTTATAAATGATATTTCCACCAGCGCAGTAGTTTGATTCATTAAGAATTCTTATATTGAAACAGCGATGTGCAAAATAACATGAGATGTAAATTAACTTCCAGTATACAAGGCAGTAATATTTGTGTCCTTCCCGTAAGAAAAATGCTCTGTTTAATATGAATTAATTGTTGCAATCCATTCTTCTAAATTTGTCTTATTGAATGCATAATCGAAATGCTATTTGGTTTGGCATTAAGTATAACTAAAATATTCTAACTTTCTGTCAAAAATAAATAACTCAAACCAGGTTGAATATTTCGCCCTCAAATAAGAAAAATCATTTTGTCAACTCTATATGAAATTGTATAAATACTTTAGATATAAGTTAAGAATAATAAATTTTGCCATGCTAAAATGCCCAGCGTATTTGTTTTTACAATCTAGATAGCATGCTTACTGTCAAAACGGATCAACCAGCATTTTAAGGCCAAGGTTACATCCACGTTAGTTTTCACTAGTTGTAATTGCACGAATATATGTGCTGGCTTAAGTTTTTAATACACAGATTTATGCTTTTGAGATATATATAACTTTTATTAGTTAACTTTGCCTTATTTTCGTTGCAGGTTATTTTTCCGTTGTTTTACTAAACATTACATTAGATTTTAATTTCTGTTTAAAATTATTTTACGGCGGTTGAATATTTTGTTTCATGTGGCAGTCCTTTGTTTTCATGAAATTTTATAAAGGAAAAAAAAAAGTTAATTTATTTTTTGAATAAAACAATTTTTAGGTCTTGTTTTCCATTCTAGCGCAAATTTCTTAAACTAACTAGCCATTAAATTAATTAAGATAAAATAAATTAAGATAAAATAAATTTGACTTCTAAATTATAACTAGCCATTCTCATCAGAATATAACTAAAGAAGCTTTTGAGTAGTATGCTGCGCAAGGCTTAATTTCTAAAATTAGAAGTGCCGGAGCCGTATGGAAGACCGTCGGGAAAGAAGAAATAAATAAATAATGTGCTTAATCAAATCATTAATAATTAAATAATTAATATTAAAAATTTAATAAAACGTAAAGATATAAATTAAAATTTAACAAGCGATTAATTTTATTACTAAAAGTAAAATTTTTGAGATCAAATTTCTACCGAAAATTTGTTCAGTTATATATAAAAGAAGTGCCCGAGCCTTCTTATTTGGAGCTCCGGTGCCACTCCGACTAGAATTATGATTTATTCCCAAAATAAGAGGTACCGGCGCAATTTAAGGTCTGATGCTGCGAATAATTAGCCTGTTTCATTGGGATCATTTCAGGCACATATAGAATTCATGTTAAGATGATAAGATTATTGAGATGCAAATTGTATAAACTAAAACAATAAATCTCATTAAACAATCTCATTAAAATTTAAATTGCGCCGGTACCTCTTAGTTTTGGGAATAAATCGTAATTCTAGTCGGAGCGGCACCGGAGCTCCAAATAAGAAGGCTCGGGCACTTCTTTTATATAACTGAACAAATTTTCGGTAGAAATTTGATCTCAAAAATTTTACTTTTAGTAATAAAATTAATCGCTTGTTAAATTTTAATTTATATCTTTACGTTTTATTAAATTTTTAATACTAATTATTTAATTATTAACAAACACGATAAATCTCATTAAATAGTGCATTTTCACTGTTTTTATGCTTTTATTTTCAATTTAAAAAAGTTAATAGGGGAAGAAATTCCCTTTTGTGTGATCTGTCCGTCCAAATGCAAAACTAGCCGCATGTTCTTAATTCTTAGTTCTCAGTTCTAAATTCTGTTCTGTGCAAATTTATTAAGTACTGACAAGAGGAGCGCAGGAACTTGAGTTCAATGGTGTATCTAAGAGGGGAGCAAGGGGGACCTGTCCCCGGCCGCAATATGTAAGAGGCGCCAAACTAGTGCCACGAAATTTTAGAATGAAACGTTTTTCATTCTTAACAAATGGGAGAGGACGCGAAATCATTAGTTGTCTCCGGGCGCTGACTACGGCTCTGTTTGGGTTCACCGATTTTGCTTTGAAACTGCATAATTATTAGAGGATTTTAAAGCGAATGTATTTGCAAACGTCTTGTGCGCGCTATTCGGTAATAAGCGTAAAAAATCGACTGTGAATTTCTTAGCAGTAATCTTATTATTCAAGGTCTTTTTACTTTTCTGCTGGCACGGATAACCTGCTGGGCAACACGCAGTGCTTGAAATGGGAAGTCCGCTGCTTATTTGATACCGATATTATTAAATATTTTAATGTTTTTTATTTCATTTTGAACGAAAGTTTATGTATAACAATTTATATTTAAAAATATTTTATTTCACCCCAAACAAGGTAACGTTAAATGAAATATAACACTGTTAAAAAAATAAATAAAAGAAAACGACGCTGCATCAAGCAGAGTTCGTAGACTTTTCCTTTCGAGCGCAGCGTTTTCCCGACTGAATTCGGTCTATGCACCAAATGAAGGAGGTTGAATAATACGAATGCTGCTTAGAAATTTAGGTGTCACTTTTATAGTTTATTTTCCAATATTATAAGATGGGATTTCGCGAAATTATTGACTTCTAGGCAAATTCAAATATTTATTTCGCAAAAGTACTAACTTCATTTGTGAGCCAAAGTCTTTCACGTCCGTCGTTAAATAAATAAATACGTCCGTTAACATTTGGAAATATGGTTTCTTGTATATGACTGTAGCTAAGACTGTCTAATATGCGTTTTCAGCTGATTTAAAATTTTTAAGATACGTGCTCATTATGTGGGACAAGTATCAGAGTGATGCAAGGACGCGCGAGAGAAATTGGGAGAGTTTTTCAAATATTTACTTTTGACGTGCATCTGAAGACTATGCAAGGACTGTTAATGACTGAGATCATTCGTCTCACCCACATAATCCGTAACATATACTTTTTCGATCAAGATAGGGACTTAAATCCAAGAACTCGGATGCTGTATCGTTTAAATATGGGAGAGTTTTCTGAGAGTGATTTGTTTGAAAATTTTACCTACTTCAACAGCGATTTTCAAGAGACTGTGCGAATAGTTGAGAACCACAAACTCTTCAAGTAAAAACTGCTTGCAATCTGTGTGCCCACTTTTAGAAATAGTATCTTCATTCCATAGTCGATTGGTTTGGTTTATTGAAATTCCAGCAAAGCACACTAGGACTATCTGAATAAAAGGAGGCATGCCTTCGTGGAGTACTTTCTAACAATCCATAGTCGAACATAATAAGCTTCTAGATTCAGCTAAATCTGATATTTATTAACCAGCAACTTAACCAGCTGCTGGAAAGCAACTATTGAAATGGAAGTTTTTAAGTGTATTTCCTTATTTATCCCCCTTCAAAAGCACGCAATTAATTGGTTGGTTAAGGAACTTTTAATTTCACCAACTATTTAAAGCCAAATAATCTTTAGATGTAAATTGTTTCATAAAATGGTAGTGTAGAGAATTCGTTTAATCGCTTTATATTTGTCCGTTAGAACTGTTGGTATATATTGTCTACAGCAGCGGTTCTCAACCTTTTGACTAACGCGTACCGTCTAAAGAAAAATTGAAAATCTTTAGTACCACCACTATAAAATATTACTACCACCACCACCACTCTTGAACAAAGCTCAGATCGTATAAATTACGATTGTTAGAGAAAAAACTCAATCAAGATGTTGGGGTTTTAATTTTTGAATTTAATAAAAATACTTTGCTTCTTTGCGTACCACCTATTTTTCTCTCGCGTACCGCTGGTTAAGAACCCTTGGTCTACATCATCGCTATTTCATCCGTGTCGTTTTGGAGGCACTGTTTGGATAGTAAATGGAGGCTATCGCCGAGATTGTTACTTATTTCTTTCGCCAGTAAGGTTATCGGAATCGATAAGTTTTTAAGCAACTGACACGTTATTTACTACAGCATTCAACATCTAATCAATCGGTAAAAAGTAACTGTCGGAAGATACGTGTTCTCAATTATTATGCTGCCATCATATTTGGTTTTACTTCTCTCTGTTCCGGTATTTAAATCTATACATGAATAATCAAGTTTAATTTATGTACCATAAATTGCTCGTTTTCCCGTGGAAAGTAATGCATTTTTAGGTGCTGCATGTCACGATTTAGTTTTGCTTGTTTATTTTGAATTTATTGCAAACATACTGCTGTTCTGCATTCCTGTCTGCTTACAGCGTAGTTTTTTTTTTTTTTTTCCCCCATTCTATGGTAGTATTTTGCAGACTAGTGTTTTGCTTGAATTGATTTCGAAATGTTACGAAACAGCTGTATTCTAATCTCAGCTCGGCGAAAACGCAATGATATAAGGAATTAAAATGGTATTTTTGGT